GCCTTTGAATAACGTCTTTCGGCCTCAGTCATTGTCTAGCTAACATAGAACACTGGATATTGCTTCCCTTCTGCGTAGCGGATCAGAACGCCACTTGTCGCGATGCTGGATACTCCGAGATATAAAAATAGCTTTTCGCCCGATTTTGGAGCTGACAGTACCGGAAGGTTCTGCATATATTTTTTCAGAGCAGTTAACGCTAGGCGCTGTTCATCCCCCCAAACCTGCCTGCCGTGGCTTCGTATTGTGTTAAAAAATGGTTTGCATTGATCTGACAATTTGGAAATGAACCGGCTCAGTGCAGCAATCCGTCCCGTAAGTATTTGCACTTCTTTGACTGTCGTCGGCTCGGCATTCTTAGTCAGAGCATCTGCTTGGGCAGGGCTTGCCTCGATGCCTCTGAGATTAACCACGTGCCCTAGGAATTGGCTTGAACTTACACCGAATGAGCACTTGGTCGGATTGAGCTTCATTCCATATCGCCTCAACACATCAAACACGTCTCGCAAATGCTTCACATGATCAGCTTTCTTCTTACTTTTTACCACCATGTCATCAATGTAAGCTTCCACTGTCTTCCTTATTTGTTCCTTAAAATTTTTGCTAATAAGTCTTTGGTAAGTTGCTCCGGCGTTCTTCAGTTCGAATGGCATAACTTTGTGGCAATACGTCCCGCGTTCGGTAACGAAAGAAGTTTTTTCTTCATCAGCGGGGTCCATGGGGATTTGATTATAACCTGAATAAGCATCTAAAAAGGTCAAGCGTTCATATCCAGTAGTTGCATCCACCATCTGATCAATCTTTGGCAGCGGGAAGCTATCCTTCGGATAGGCTTTGTTTAAATTGGTAAAATCAATGCATACGCGCCATTTCCTATTTTTCTTCTGCACAACGACCACATTCGATAACTAGTTAGGGTAGTACACTTCTCTTACAAACCCCGCATCAAGAAGCTTGTCAACCTCCTCGGCAATAATTCGGTTGCGCTCGGGGGCAAACCGTCGCTGCTTCTGCTTTACAGGTTTTGCATTAGGGTTAACATTCAAGGAGTGACAAGATACAGAAGGATCGATCCCTGGCATGTCTAGGTGACTCCATGCAAACACATCTGTGTTTTGAGACAAAAAATCAACTAATTCCTGCTTTTCCTCCTCAACGAGTCGTTCCCCCACTCTGGTTGTCCGTTCCGGTCGGAACTGATCGATCTGCACATCAAACAAGGGTTCTTCAGTCAAGCCTACTGGCTCCTCCTCCCCACTCTGCTTGGAGGGAGGCTCCTGTAATTGCTATCTCGGACTTGCTGAACGAATGGGAGCTTTCCCCTTTCCGGTATGTTTCAGTGTTACAGAATAACATTCTTTAGCTGCAACCTGGTCTCCATGAATGTCAATCACTTTGGTTCCGTCTGGCCCCAGGCATCTCATTACCTGATGCAGAGTGGAAGGAACACCTTGAACTCTGTGGATCCACCCTCTACCCATCAGAAGATTGTAAGAGGGATGAATTTCAACAACCACAAAGGTTTCCATCAAAACCCTCTCGGCAGTATGTACCGCTACCTCCACCGTACCGACGGGCTCCACTCGCTTTCCATCAAACCCTAGTAGTGGATTCCCGGTGGATTTCAGCCGATCCTGTTTGATCTCGAGCCGATCGAATGTGTCTCTTGACATGATGTTCGCACTACTTCTAGGGTCAATTAGAACTCTGCGCACCAAGCATTTGGCCACTGTCAAACTTACGACCAGCGGGTCCTCATGAGGGATCTAAACAAGCAACAAGTCTGTTACGTCAAACTTTATCTGCGTTGATGCGCTCTGTTGGTGCAGAGTGTTTACATTGCTTATCATTCTCTTCATCCGTGCCTGGCGAAGGTGTGTTCGAAGCAGTTCATCTGACTCCTCGGCAGGTTCTGGCCGACCATGAATTGCATTGATTACTCGAACTGGTTGTGTGTTGTGAGAATTCGACTTCTGATTCTTCTTCACGTGCTCCATTGGTCGGTTCTGTTCCACCGCTGGTCCTTGAATATAACTTGCGAACTCCCCTCTAGCTATCAGCATCTCTACCTGTCTCCTTAGGTTCCTGCATTCGTTAGTCTGGTGGCCAAAATCAGAATGAAATGCACAGTGCTTAGACTGATCCCTCTGTTCGAGAGGTTGTCTGATTGGTAAAGGAGGTTGGAACTTATCTTTATTTTCTTGGTACAGTCTTGCTAGGGTAACTTTCAATGGAGTAACCAACTTTTCCTCTCTGGGCCTCTTCTCAGATTTCCACGAGGAGCGTTGCGGCTAAACCTGTTTTTGCCTGATCTTTGCTTTGGTCTTTTCTTCCGTGGATATGACGGATGTCTTCCGAGCGTTTGCCGCCTCTTCTTCTTCCAAGCGCACAAATCCATCGGCTCTTTCGTTAAGTTCATCCATAGTCTTCGGCGTGTTCACCACCAAGCTTGTGTGGAATGGGGTGCCACGGTTCATGGCCAGTATGAATGCTTGAACTGCCGTTGAAGGGTGACATTCAATAACCATGCTCTTGGTAAGGTTAAACCTGGTTAGGAAAGCCTGGAGACGCTCATCAGCATGTTGCTTCATTGTGAATAGGCTCGAAATATCTTTCGTTGGACGCTTGTTTCCATAGTATTGGCTTATGAACTGATCACACAAGCTTCAGAAACTATCCACTGAACCCCTCGGCAAGTTCTTGAACCAATTCAGAGCTGGTCCGGCCAGACTCGTAAGAAAGCACTTGCACATCAAAGAGTCATTCTCAGTGTTTAGAGCCATTTTAAACTAGATGTGATACACGTGATCGATCGGATCGGTCGTTCCGTCGAACAGAACGAAAACGGGCATGGAAAATTTCCTCGAACTCGGAGCATTCAGAATCTCATCGGTGAACGGTGAATCAACCGTTCGAGCTGTTGAATGGAGTGCTTCATTTTCCCTCTGGAACCTCGCGGCTGCTCTCTGGTCTACTGATCTCCTCTCTGAGCTGTGATAGTCGAACGTCGTCATGGAAGGCCGATAGGTCGGATCGAATGACCTGTCCTCAACAAAGTCTTTGCGCCATGGAGGCATAGCTTTGTGACGATTCAACTCTGTTGCTTCACCTCGGCTGAGCGTTTCTTGATGTGGATCAAAAGTCATTGCTTCGTTTCGCCTGATCTGCTCACGCCGTGGATCCATGTGAGTTGATCCTTCACGATCATCAATACGACGAAGATTTGGCGGCAAACCGTCTCGCCGGATTTCCTCGCTGTGAGGATCTACTAGATTGTTTCCAACCTCCTCACCGTGATGTGCTGCATCGGTACGTGCACCTTTTTCTCCTACCGGGAGTGGTCGTAGAATTACTGGAGCTTCTTGACGCTGCATTTCAGTCCTTAGATCCACATTTTCTCTCCGAAGAGCTTTGATCATGTTCATCAACTCATCAAGTTTCACTTGCTGGACGTTCTCAACCGTATTGGAGTTGTCACCCCCTATCATGATTCTGGATCGAAGCAAAGGCATGAATTACGAACTCCGAAACAGATCTAAGCGTCACCGATGCAAACTCCGTTAGATCTGGGCTTAACTTCACCGAATCGTGATCACTGTTTGCTAGATCTGAACTTTTCTAGCTTTGAACTCACCGGATCTGACTGCAATTGAGCAAATCACAATTGCGTCATTCCGAAGCAAATGCCTCAGAATCCACAATAAGCAAGAATTCTCTCTGAACAAACTACAATCTCACTGATCTGGATTCAACTTCCAGAAATCACACTGTGTACTCACAAACTCAATTGAACTAATATGGTACTGATCAGGCTCGAATTGATCTTCTTCCTCGATTCCCACAGATGGCGCCAATTGAAGATGCAAGAATTCGTTTCTTCTCTCTCTCTCTCTCTCTAGAATTCTTCCAAAAAATTTCCTTCTCTTATCCACCTGTAATGGTCTATTTATAGGCCATTACAATTATTATTGTTAACTGATTACATTGGGCCTATATTCAAAAGTTTTCTTCCTTCTGGGTTTGATCTTCCAATGGGCTTGATCTTCCTCGGTGGATCCCCCAGGTTCAGCCCATTCCGGGGTGCTTTGGCATGGGCCCTACTTCAATTGTTCGACCCGATCCCGTTCCAGCGAACTATATCCGGCCCATGCCACTTGCTGCATCCTCAGTTACTTAAATAAAAAATACCTTCTTTTTTATGCAATATATTCATAAAAAATTAAAAAATTACTCAAATTGTTTTAAAATTTTCTACTTAAGATTTTTATTTAAAAATTTAATTAAAAAAATTAAAGGTAAATTTATACAAATTTATATGTCATCAAATTATTATAATTTATTTCAATAAGAAAAAAATAATTAAGAGTAATTTAATAAGAAAGGGCATTTTGGTCATTTAATAAAATATAATACAGGCATAGGGGCATTTTGCAAGTATTTGTGATAGTTTAGAGGGTTTTGTGCATAAAATATACTTTAAGGGAATTATTTGCAAATTCCAACATAATTTAGGGGAGTTTTTTTAATTTATTTTATTATTTTATTATTTTATTTGTAATTTTCCCCATTTTATATGCTCTGTGTTTTGCTAGCTTTACTATCTTTGATCAAGGAATTAGATTTTCTCACCGTTTGTTTCAATGTAAAATTTTTTTGTAAAATATTTTTTATTTCAATTTTATTTTATTTTATTTTTGGTTGTCCTAAAAATGCTTTTTACTATAAATGTTGGAATATAAATAGTTAGACTAGTGGATTTAATAATCAATGAGTCAAATAAGAGTTTGAATTTTCATTTACAAACTTTTTGAGAAGCCAAACACCCAAAAAAAACATATTTTTAGGAATTTTCCCAAACACCAAAAAACATATTTTTAGGAATTTTGCCAAACACAGAAAAATAAAAAAAGTATTTTACATGAAGAAATATTACTTGAAAAATATTCTACATGGAAAATATTTTACGCCCAGAGTATTTCTACAATTTGCTTGCATTTCAGGTAAGAATTTGTTTATATGGCTTGGACCGAAACCAATGGTGATCGTCCGGGATCCTGAACTCGCGAGGGAAATACTTTCTAAGAATTTTCGATTTCCAAAGCCCCATGGAAATCCACTGTCCAGGTTGCTAGCAACTGGACTAGGGACCTATGACGGTGAGAAATGGACCAAACACAGAAAAATCATCAATCCTGCTTTCAATCTAGAGAAGCTCAAGGTACAATCTAATAGTAAGTGTCAGTACTAATTTTTCAGCCTGCAGAAGCTCTATGCAGCCAATCCAAATCAACCTCACCACAAGAAAAGTTTTAAAGTTGAGAAGTGTTATGCTGGGATTATTATTATTATTATTTCGAAAAATTTGTATTTCTTGACCTTAAACACCAAACAGACATGGTTAATAAAAGAATCTGAACTATTGATTTCTAAATGTGAAATACTAACTGTCATCGGGTTTTTTCTTTTTACTGTTTCATATAGCATATGCTACCAGCTTTTGATTTAAGTTGTAGCGAGACGATGAGCAAATGGGAAAAGATGGTTTCAGAGGAGGGTTCATGTGAGTTGGATGTGTGGCCTTATCTTCAAATGTTGTCTAGCGATGTGATTTCGCGCACTGCATTTGGTAGCAGCTATGAAGAAGGAAGAAGGATATTTGAACTTCAAAAGGAACAAGCCGAGCATACAATTCTGGTTGGACAGTCAATTTACATCCCAGGATGGAGGTAATTAAAGCAATATTTATCAAGTTCCTTTCTACAACTCCGTTTATTTGGATGTAAAATACTTTTTATTTTTATTTTTTGGTGTTTAGTTGTCGTAAAATATTTACAACTCACCCATTAAAATTCATTTAGGATTCTAAATACCATTTACAAAGAGAAATGATATTTCCTTGTAGGTTTTTGCCTACTAAGAGGAACAAGAGGATGAAGGAAATCGACAAAGAAGTGCAAGCTTCATTGAGGGTTATTATCGAAAGAAGAGTGAAGGCAATAAAGGCTGGAGAAGCCGGGAGTAATGTTGACTTGCTGAGTCTATTATTGGAATCGAATTTCAGAGAAATTCAACTACATGGAGACAAGAATGTTGGAATGAGTACTAAAGATGTCATTGAAGAGTGCAAGCTATTCTACTTTGCAGGGCAAGAGACAACCTCAGTTTTGCTTGTTTGGACAATGTTTTTATTGAGTAGGCATTCAAACTGGCAAAACCGCGCTAGAGAAGAGATTTTGCAAGTGTTCGGGAATAACAAGCCAGATTTTAATGGGTTAAATCGCCTGAAAATTGTAAGTTTTTTCATCAATCGTATAAAATCTTTATACACGCACTCTTATATTTTTTAGCTTTCGAAACTACTATTCTACTTTTGAAGTTCATCTTGCACAATATTAGGGTTTGTAGACTTCTACCGGTGTCTTCTCATTTTTCATATAGAGAGGAATATATAACTCATCTCATTATCAGGCCTAAATTTCAAATTTAGTTCTTCATTCAACATATATATATATTTGACATTATATATACCGGCTGAATAGAAGAAACGGCAAAGTATATTATTCTTATTATCACAACTGATTCAAAAGTTTATCATGTCATCTTTAGAAAAAGGAAAATGGAAAAGGCTTATTCTGCAGAACATGCACCTTATAGCATGAAATCTATCATTTTATCTGAAAGTCTTGACATTTTTCTCTTTCAGGTAACTATGATTTTGTACGAGGTTCTAAGGTTATACCCGCCTGCAGACCAACTGACTCGAACTATTCACGAGGAGACAAAGTTAGGAGAAATTTCATTTCCAGCAGGAGTGCACTTTTCATTACCGATAATTCTTATTCATCATGACCACGAAATATGGGGTAACGATGCAAAGGAGTTCAAACCAGAGAGATTTGCTGAAGGAGTGTCAAAGGTCACAAAGGGCCAAGTCTCATTTTTTCCATTCGGCTGGGGACCCCGGATATGCATTGGACAAAACTTCGCGATGTTGGAAGCAAAAATGGCATTGGCTATGATTCTACAACGTTTCTCCTTTGAGCTTTCACCATCTTATGCGCATGCTCCTTACACTGTCATAACACTCCAACCTCAATATGGTGCTCACTTCATTTTACACAATGTCTAGTTTCGAATGGTATCACTATTGCTAGCTCATAATTAGCAATGATATTTCTAGCTGGGGATTTTCATATCATGTAAAATGGATTACTAGATTTTATATGAACCTTGTTGAACCTAACATTTCACGTACCCAGAGCAATGTTAGAAAGTTAAGCTAGATTCTTTTGTTTTCCTATATACATGCATGGTTGAGTAGGGTTAATGTATTTTCTTGTGTGACTTTTGGTTTTTCAATAATGGTTGTTAAATGAGATTATTTAGGGAGATGAATCATGTAAGGGGAACTGAATTATGAAAAAGGAGATGAATATTAGTAAATTCGTACTAAAGATGTAGCCTATAAATAGAGGCTTGTATCTCTTTCAAAATCAAGTAAAATAGAGTGAAATCAAAGCCTTAGAGCTATAGTATACATTGTCCTTCATTTGTGTTGTGTTTTGTGGTCAAGAGATCTAGTTTAGTCTCTTGAAAGCTCCACTGTAAAATAGAGTGAAAATAGAGTGAAATCAAAGCCTTCAAGTTATACATTAGCCTTCATTTGTGTTGTGTTTTGTGGTTAAGAGATCAGGTTTAGTCTCTTGATTTTGTGGTCAACACAAAATCCAGTAAAATAGAGTGAAATCAAAGCCTTCAAGTTATAGTATACATTGGCCTTCATTTGTGTTGTGTTTTGTACTGGTCAAGAGATCAAATTTAGTCTCTTGAAAGCTCCACTGTTCTAGACTTTATTCCATCATAGTGGTCTCAGAGCGTGGTTTAAGATCAATGGCTTCCTAGAACATGATGTTGCAGCCCCAACTGTCAAGATTCAATGGGAAGAATTATACTCAATGGAGCATCTAAATGAAGGTCCAGTACGGATCCCAAGATTTATGGGAGATTGTTGAGACTGGTTATATGGAGCCAACGGATCAAACGACTCTTACTCCATAACAATTGAGTGAGTTAAAAGAAAATCGTAAGAAAGATCGACAAGGTTTTTTTTTTATCTACTAAGCTGTAGATGAAGTTATTTTTTAAAGAATTTTATCGGTTAAGCAAGCTTGGGACACACTTCAAGCTTCATACAAAGGAGAAGATAAAGTGAAAATGGCATTATTGCAAACACTTCAAGGTTAATTTGACATGTTGCACATGAAAGAGTCAGAATCTGTTAAAGATTACTTCAATCGGGAAACGTCTCTTGTCAACCAAATGAGAGTGAATGGAGAACAAATTGAAGACAAAACCGTTATGGAAAAATTCTTCAGAGTATAACTTGCGATTTTGAATATATTGTGGTGGCAATTGAAGAATATAAAGGCTTGTCTACTTTGTTTTAGATAGTTTGATGGGTTCTCTTCAATCACATGAATTGCGCCTGAAGCAATTTGACTCATCTCCTTGTGGTGTTCTGTATTTTTTTGCATTTTTTTTTTTTTTTTGTATTTATTTTTCCTTGACACCTCGTTTTACGCGCCGTCATCATTTAGCGAGTCGTGTGGGTCATGGAGTTTGTTTAAGGCATTTCTAAATGGGTCATCTTTCCATTTTTCGGATTTTTGATCCAAAAGGTCCCGTGTGGGCCCATGCCAGGATTTTTTGTACCCGGGTAATCATTTCGAGTCCATGTGCATTTCATTATTGTTTGGTAAATATCTATGTGATATTTTCATTTTCACTATTTTCCATTTTTATGGAATTTTTGTCGTTGTAAGGGTATTTTTGTCTTTTCCCATCTTGCATACCGGACACCGCGGAGTGTGCCGGATATGTCAGAGAGTTGTTTGGAACATTTCATTGAGTTCAAGGCTCTTTGAAATGCAAGGGTTGCCGTTTCGGCATTTTTTCCCTTTTTTGGACCGAACGATCCTGTGTGGGACCTGCCACAGTATTGTCGCGTACGGGGGGTGTCGGTTGGTTCCATTTGCATTTCATTTATTTTATTTGATGTGTTTTGTGTAGTATTTGTATAGTTTGTATTTGATGTGTTAAGTGTGTGTGTGGTGGAGAAATTTATAAAAAAAAGTCAAAATTTGAATTCTTGGAGGTGGGACCCATGTTCCACTTGGGTATTAATGGCTAAGAGGCGACATTTGGGCTCTCATTTCTCTATCCCCGGTTATCTCTCTCTCACCTTCTTTTCTTTGCTTTTTTTTTTTTTTCTTTTTTACATCAAAGCTTCAATCTTCAATTAATGTCTCATCCTTTGGAAATTTCGAGTGTCGTTTGCGGTAAATCGGAGAGCACGGCGAGATCTACGCATGGATGTAAGCAATTCCTCATTTGGCTGGCCTTAGGGAGTTCAAAAATCTGGACCCACTTTGGGGTTTTTGCATCTTAAGAGGTAGGGGTCTCTAATCCATACATTCTTGCACCTTTGTGAATTTTTCTACTATAATTATTGTTAAACATACTTAATTTGAGTTGATTGCCTCTAAAATGACTTAATTATGTATATGAAGCATGTAATTAGGTGTATTGGTTGATTTGTATGAAAAACATGCCTAAGTGTTAATCTTCTATGCCTATTGTGTTGTTAACTTGCTAGAAATGTTATATGAAAACATGTGTAATTTTCTTAAAATTTCTTGTAAAGCATGCTTATTTGTGTAGTATGAAAATCCCTTATTGCCATAGCATTGAAAGCATTAGACATACATGTATATCATGGGGTATGAACGAAGGGAAATGATTTGAAATAAATGAAAAAGAGATTTTGGGAAAAAGTTTTTGTAAAGTGGTTTTGAGAAAACCCAGACGCTGTGGAGGTACCAAAGGTCCGTGGAATTAATGTAGCTTAGAGGGAACTAGGGGAATCACCCCAGCGTGGTTGAGATATCTGGGCCCCAAATGACGCCGCAGAGGTACCAAGGGTCAGGGACAGTAGCCAATCATTCTCTCGTATCGCAGTGGAGTCACCAAGGGACGGGTTATATTAACAATTTGAAAAGTGAAGGATTGGATTTTGAAAATGGGGAGCGACATACATGGCATTGCATTTCATAGCATGAATTTGTTTCATCATAACTTGGGCTTGTATTGTATTTTTTTCCCTGGCATAGTATGATCCCGTTGCCTTTATTTTTATTTATTGTTTGGATTCATAGGGTCACAAGAGGTGTGTCTTAGGCACCACCTACTAAGCAATATGCTCATCCCTTCATATTTAATATTTTTCAGGTCATGGGAAGGAAGTGGCGGATGACAATCCACCACAAGCTTGTTGGTTGCTAGAAGTCCATTTTTGCTATTTTTGTTTTAGGCCGTTCTTTTATATTGCAACACTTTGAAAATGTATTTAAACTTACTAGCATGGCCTTGTAATTTAACTAAGAGCCTTAGCTCTATTTTGATGTAAATTTAATCAAATGTAAAGACTATGTTTTTTGTATACGAAATAAATGGGAAAATGTGGTAACAATGTGATAAATTGTCGATGCTTTTCACCATGGTATGAAATAGCATTTTTAAAGTGTGTTGGGACAGGTTTAAATCTATTTTGAGGTTTCTCCCAAAGCCTCATCTCATTCTCTCAGTCACAGCATCTCAGCAGTTGAACCACAGTTCGAAGAGCCATTTCGGTCGACTGAAATGGGTGCTTCGACCGACCGGTTCTTCTAGTAGCCTCAACTACTATTGGGGAGCACAACCAGTCAACCGGTGGGCCATTTTGGAAGACCAGTTCAAGGAAATTTTGTTTCGGCCGACCGAAGCTTCATTTCGATCGATCGAAGTGAAGCTGGATGGCCTATTTTTTGTTCTTTCTTCCAGCCTATCTATCTTAAGCTTTGGGAATTTAGATTGAGCCATTGTGGAGAATAACTATGACCTTAAAGTGATGTTTTAACAGTAGAAATGACGGGTATGACTTAGGTAACCTCGGGTTCGAGTAAAGACGGACCTCCGGATTTGGGTTGTTACAGAATTAGTATCAGAGCGATAGTTCGAAAACCATTAGGAAGATGGGTAGAGGCCTACTTAGGCTTGCATGGGAAGGCATTTGCATTGCTTATGTGGTTATTTGCTAAAGTGTTTCGTTATGTGAAAAGCATGCTTAACTGGTTATTTGCTTATGTGTTTATATATTGTGTTATGGTATTTGTTGTCTAGTTTTGCATACTAAGTGTTTATATGGCATCATTGTATTGAGTCGTCCATGGTTGCACCATAGTGTCATCGTTATTGAATCATTTTCTCATTTTCTAGCACGATGCCACAGCGAAAGGAACCAAGGGGTGTTGGCCCTAAGCTGACAAGGGGTGATGTTGGTGAAAGTTCTAGCTTCAATTCCGCGGAGCAGGTTGAGGAGGATATACTTCTTAGGGATTTGATTCCTCCGAGAGGTGTCTCCACTAGAAGGGATAATGTTGTGGCACCCGTTGAAGCGGGTGAAGGCTCAGCTGAGCTGGCATTGAACCATCTGTTGCAGAATGCCTTAAGGGTTACAATTGCTTCTCATCTGCAACCGGTACCACAACCAGTAGTTCAGGTAGAGGAGACGGCGGTACAAAAGAGTCTCAAGTTGATTGTGGGGTTTTCTAAGTTGATGCCAATGATGTTTGAGGGCGGTGCAAACCCAATGGAAGCTGATGACTACATGGACCAAGTGGAAACCCACTTTTCTTCAATGGATGTGACGGATAATCATGTGAAAATCATCCTAGCCACTTACAAGTTTTCAAAGAACACCAAGCTTTGGTGGAAGTCAGTTACCAATCAACATAAGGTTGAAGAGATAACGGGGGAATGTTTAAGGAGTTATTTTATGAGAAGTATTTTCCGGTTACCAAGAGATGAGAGTTAAAGGAACAATTTAACGGCCTTATCCAAGGCAACATGTCGATGACGGAATACGAGAACAAGTTCACTTCTCTTTCCCACTTTGCTCCAAAGATGGTGAGCAATGAAGTTAACAAGAATCGAAAGTTTGTTTTCGGTCTTCATTACCAAATGAGGCCATTGATAACGGCACAGTACTTCAAAGTTTATTTGGAGGTAGTGGAAAGAGCATTGATATTAGAGGCGGAAGCTAAAAATAGAAATGCAGGAAGGGAACAGTGGAAGCAAAAGAGAAATGCAGAACCATCTTCAGAAGGGCAGTCATGGAAGAGGAACATGGGTAGTTCATCTCGGTATCCGCTCCTACTACTCCTATGCCAGCTGGGTCAGATAAAA